AGAAGACCCCCACTCCTTTCTCTTTAAGCTTTTTGACTAGTAGTAGAGAAATTCTCCCCATGTTTAGAAGTTTGCACTTTGTATTCTTATGGGGCCATCTGCTGTGGGTTTAAAAAGAGACTTTAAAGCACCCAGAAGAGCAGGGAGAGCTCAGGAATACGAGCTACCAATGACCTCGGTCCATGGGATGCCCCTGGTGAGGTAAAACAGCGGCACTGACCACCCTCTAGAGGTGGCCCCACCCCATTCCTGGCCAGTTCCAGGCCTGAGATGGGGAGACAGCAAGTTTACCTCAGGCCTCACTTCATGTTGCAATTTTGTGCTCTGTAACCTTCAGAGAAGTGGGGTTCCTGTCCTCTGCTCGGCAAAGTGCTGGCTGGAACCTAGCCCACTACTCACCCTTGATTACAGAGGCCTCATGTAGCTGCCAGCAGGCATGGGTCAGCTCCCAATCACTTACTTGGTGCCTGTGCCGTGCAGCTCACACAGAGTAGCACAAGGGTTTTGTGAACATCTTCACTTGTGTTTTTTAATTTAAAGATGATTAGTATTTTATGTGCATTGCCTGAGTTTATGTATGTACAACACATGGGTGTGTGTACTTACAGAGGAGAGTTCCTGAGCTACAGGGGTTGTGAGCTTTCTGAGGTGAGTGTTGGGAATCAAACCTGGGTCCTCTGTAAGAGCAGGAAGTGCTTAACAGTTGGTCCATCTTTAGCCCCCAGCATCTTCACATGTTCACAGGCTCCAAGATGGAGCACTCCTGGGCTTGGGCAAGCTACACTCTGTAACCTCCTTGTGGTATTTATATCGGTGTTACTGATCTTGGCTATTCAAAGACAGATAGACTCCCCTCTGTTTAAAAGCCTCCCTTTTGCCTGTTGTGGTGGTGTACCCTTTAATCACAGAACCAGGGAAGTGGAGGCAGGTGGATCTCTGTGAGTTTGAGGTTAGCCTAGTCTACATGGTCCTAACTGTTCTGGAACCCACTGTGTGTGTGTTTCTTTTTTTTTTTTTTTTATTTTTTTCCTTTATTTATTTATGTATTTATTTATTAAATATTTCAGTCTCTTCCCCACCTCCGCCTCCCCTTTCCCTCCCCCTCCCCCAATCCATTCCCCCTCCCTCGTCAGCCCAAAGAGCAATCAGGGCTCTCCGTCCCGTGGGAAGTCCGAGGAAAACCCTCCTCCGTCCAGGTCTCGTAAGGTGATCATCCAAACTGCCTAGGCTCCCACAAAGCCACTACGTGCAGTAGGATCAAAGACCCATTGCCATTGTTCTTGATGTCTCAGTAGTCCTCATTGTCCGCTATGTTCAGTGAGACCGGTTTTAACTGTGTGTGTGTTTCTTGTGCTTTTGATTTTTCTTTTCTTTTTTTAGTTCTTGTTTATTTATTTAATTTGCCGGTTTGTTTTCTAGAGAGAGAAAGAAGTGGAGTTATGTCACAAGGAGCAGGGCCCCTTGTTTGTCCCGGCAGCCCGGCTAGCTTACACCCAAAATAACCATACATAAACTGTATTCATTAAAACAGTGCTTGGCCCATTAGCTCTAGTTTCTTATTGGCTAATTCTTACATATTAATTTAACCCATTTCTATTAATCTGTGTATCGCCACGTGACTGAGGCTTACCGACAAGATTCTAACCAGCATCTGTCTCAGGCAGGAGATCCATGGCGGCTCTCTCTCACTCTGTCCTTCTTCCCAGCATTCCATTCTGTCTTCTCTGCCTACCTAAGTTCTGCCCTGTCAGGCCAAAGCAGTTTCTTTATTGATTAACCAGCGAGAGCAACACATAAACAGAAGGCCCTCCTACACCAGAGTTAGATGAGTAAGGAAGTGGGGATGATGTGGGAGGAGATGAGGGTGGGAAAACCATGATCAGAATACATTTTATAGAAAAATAAAAATGAAAAAATACTTGCTTTAGTAAGGGGGAGATTGAGGGCACCAGAAGGGACGCATTGAGAGTCAGCTGGAAGTTGCGGGCCACACAGTGGAGTCTAGAACATCCCTGCCTACAGCAGCACCCAGACCTTCCGGTGCCCTTCTTTCAGTGGTGCTTGCCGAGGTAGCTTTGTAAGGCTGACTTAGAGTGGCTACGGGGATGTGTGAGATGGAGTCCCTGCTCTCGAAGGTGGTGGGGCCGCCGGGGTGTGCAGACAAGCAGATGCTGTGTATAAATATGATGGTTTGAGAAATGACCTAAGGATAAAGGCAGGCTCTTCTTTCATCCGACATTTTTGCTTCTCTCTCTTCCTTACTCCCTTACAGGAGTGGCTTTTGTCATCTGGGTAGTGATTATCATCTAGCTGGCAGGGTTCTTTTGGGGAGGGGGGAAGACAGGGTTTCTCTGTGTAACAACTCTGGCTGTCCTGGAACTCACAGAGTTCATAGTTCATAGACCAGGCTGGCTTTGAACTCACAGAGATCCGCCTGCCTCTGCCAAGTGCTGGGATTAAAGGCGCGTGCCACCACCACCCTGACTTAGCTGGGACTCTTCTTAAGAAGAGTCTTCTCTTAAGACTGAGATTTGTTCTTTATTCCCCTCCCTCCCCTCTACCCCGCCATCCCTCTTGTTATTCCCCTCCCTTCCCTCTACCCCACCATCCCTCTTGTTATTCCCCTCCCCCATCTACCCCACCATCCCTCCTGTTATTCCCCTCCCCTCCTCTCTACCTTATCCATCACTCTTGTTATTCCCCTCCCCCATCTACCCCACCATCCCTCTTGTTATTCCCCTCCCCCATCTACCCCACCATCCCTCTTGTTATTCCCCTCCTCTCTACCTTATCCATCCCTCTTGTTATTCCCCTCCCTCCTCTCTACCTTATCCATCACTCTTGTTATTCCCCTCCCCCATCTACCCTGACCATCCCTCTTGTTATTCCCCTCCCCCCCTCTCTACCTTATCCATCACTCTTGCTATTCTTCCCCCTCTTCATCTACCCCCATCATCCTTTTTGTTCTTTAGACTCCCTTCCAGAGCCTGGCCTTGGCTGCCTCTATTACCCGTGTACCCTTACTGGCTTACCCGGCTGGAACATTTATGATGAAAGATGGGATGTCAAGAGGAGGTTCTTCCAGAGGAGTCTCAAGGCCCTGGATCTTGATCACCCTCTCCGCCATCCCTCATTATTCCCTGGCTGCACTGCAGTTCCTCCCACACTGGGAGACTGGGCAAAGTCCGAGTGGCTGCTGCAGAAGAGACAGAACAAATTCTCCAGGGATGTCCCCTCCACATGCCTGAGCAGGGCCACTGTCCCAGGGTTATCTTAGTTGTTGTTCTCTGCAGAAAAGAACTTCGGGATGTACCGTGTGCATTATACACTAAAGTTCTGAAGCTGGTGGGTAAAGGCAGGTTCCTTTTCTTTTATACTCCCTGTTGTGTGGGCTGCTGCTGCTGCCAGAGATCTAAGGCCTGGGTTGGCCTGGGTGTGCCCTCTGCCCCCACAGTTCAACAGTCACACACTTTTAACTGCATCCCTTCTCTGAACTAGAGTGGGGTACCAGAACCTCTCGGAGTCACAACAAGGAGTAAGAGATAAGTCACCACATGTCACACAGGACTTTGCACAAAGCAGGCTCTCACTAGATTGTCACTGTCATTACTTTATTTTCAGCAGGAGGCAATAGCAGAATGTCAGAGATGTGGAAGCTGGAGGGCTTCAACATGGGCTTACTAACATGGGCTTCAATCGGAAGGTAGAGACATCCAGTGCAATGGTGACCTAAAAACAATGAGAACCCTGACCTTTGATGGGCTGCATGAAAACCAAAGCCCTGGGAACGCTTTTATTTAGACACACATGCGCATAAGTGAAGGTTGATCTTAATCTTAAAACATGCAAGCTCTCAGAGCTACAGAATTTGGAGCATTCAGTTGAATCATTTGAGATCGCTTAGGGGGCTTTACAGAAGTGTGGCAGCTCACTGACTCTTGTTCAGAAATATGTTTCAGCATGTGTGCATGCATGTTTGTGCATGTTCCTCTGATGGCACCCAGGGTCCTGAGTGTGCTAGGCAAACACGCTACTGCTGAGCTGTCTGTGAAATACTTGACTCATTGGTGTAAGTGGTGAAGGAAGGAAATGTTCACAGCTCCACCACAAGGCTCTGTGGCAAGGGATGCTGGAATGTCAGCCCAGTCCCCCAGCGGCCCAGGCAGACCCACACCAAAGCCCAGGCCCCAGAGAGCCAGGCCCCTGCAGTGTCAGAAACTCCAGATTTGAAAGGATTAATCTGTCCACTGTGGAAATGCTTAATTCCTTTTCTCAAGACATTTTTGGAAGGCTTTCTGCTTTTTTAATCTCCTGACTTCTTGTTTGTGACCAAGTTCAAATTCCAGGGAGAAGCAGCCAATATGTGTGATTATTTCCTCTTGTACTAAAAGTGGAACTAAAAGAATGAACTTACTTCACAAGAAATAAATGTACCCTTTGGGCTTAAGCTAAAATGAGTGTGCACAGTCGCTGTTGTGTGGTAATTAAACACTAACATGAAAAAGATGTCAGCAAATGCATTCATGATCTTTTTTAAACATAAAGCCAAAAAAAAAAAAAAAAGAAGAAGAAGAAGAAAAGAATCTTTAAAAAGACTCTCCTCCTCTGCTGTCCCTTGTGTGGGCTGCTGCTGCTGCCAGAGATCTAAGGCCTGGGTTGACCTGGGTGTGCACGCTGCCCCCACAGTTCCACAGTTTCACAGTTTAAGCTGTGTCCCTTCTCTGAACTAGAGTGGGGTACCGGAACCTCTCGGAGTCACGACAAGGAGCAAGAGATAAGTCACCACATGTCACGCAGGGTTTTGCACAAAGCAGGCACTCACTAAATGGTCACTGTCATTACTTCATTCTTAGCAGGAGGAAGTAAAAGATTCTTAGGGACATGAGAGTTGGAGGGCTGAATGGATGGTGCAGAAGACATTGTCTTGTTTCCCAGAATAGCTAGGTAGGGGTCTGGGGGAGCTGTGTGGACCGTTGCATCACCGTTGCTGTGCTCCTTAGGTGACCTCTTCAGTGCCGCGGACTTTCCGTTCCTGTCTTTCTACAGATTCCACGGCAGCTGCTGTGCCAGGTAATCTTGCGCCACGTCACGTGTTTTCTGTGCTGTTAGCTGTGTCTTCATCTCTGTGCAGGCCAGCATAATACGGTGAGCCAGCTGAGGTGCGGAAGGAGGCACTCTGGGAAGCAGCTCTGTCTCCAGCAGGCATTCCCAACACTCACACGTGTTCAGTACCAGCCTGAGTCCTGCAGACCTTGGCCTGTGCAGGCCTGTGCCTCAGCCAGGACTGTGCTTTTCAAGCTTGCCGAAGAGCTTCCCACCCTTCCCCTCCACAACTACCACACAGAACTTCAGGGCACAAAACTAACGAAATTGATTCAGTTCAAGGGATGTTTGTGTCCTCGCCATTTTGATCTTGGCTTTTTTTCTTGCTGCCAGAGCCAATCTGCAGAAACCCTCAGTGGAACTCCAAGACTCAGAAGTACATGGTAGAAACCGGCAGTTAGTATAAGTCCAGACACTAAACTGGCTTTGGGAAGGACTCAGGGATGGGGACCAAGTTCTTCATTGTCATCCTGCCCCGCCATTTCTAGAAAAAGTCTTGAGTGGTGAGGGCTGGGGAGGCTTTAGGCACAGTCTCAAGCTTGCATTTTGCCAGGAGGGAAAGAGAAGACCTGGGCCAACCCCGGGGTTGGTGGTTGCTAGGTTGCCAGTTGTGTGGCCTCTGGGCAGATTATCTGATCCTCCCGAGTTTTTGTTTTTTCATCTGTGACAAAGAACAGTAATATCAATATTGTGTGACTCGAATATGTATAAGTTCCTAAGCATCATACCTGGCCCAGATAACAGGGGCCATTATCAGTATCTGCTCAGGTCAGCTGTAAGAAAAATCTCCAAACTGTTGATGTTGAATCCTGGCCCTGCCGAGGATCTTAAGCAGGATTTTAACTTGTTTTCACTCTTCCAGGGAGAAAGATTTTTTTTTTTTTACAGGCTTTTATACTAATCAATAGAGGTGTATGCTCTGGACAGTGCCTGTGCATGGCACATGCTCAGTCAAGAGAAAACCAACAAAACCAAAATTCTCAACCATGAATAAAAACCATGTTATCCATCTCCACACAGAAGGGTGAGAAGCTGAGATGTAGAGACTGGAGAGCTGGCTCAGCGATTAGGAGCATTTGCTGCAGAGGACCAGGGTTCAGTTCTCAGTGCCATGGTGTCTTAGAACCATCTGTAACTCTAGTCCCAAGGTGCACATGGAGGCAAAACACTCATACACAGAAAATAATAGAACAGATAAATCATTTTTCTTTTTAGTTGAGGTGTAGCTACGTACTGCTTCTGGAATGAGTATGCCATGTTCCTCAGGTGTTTTGAGGCAATGGGGCAATATTATAGACTCTCCTAATTTGAACCTTGTGAAGATTTTCTTTCTCACCCTGGAAAGCTTCAGGGAAGTCCCACAGTGCTCCTGTGAGCTCCCCAGCTCTCGTCAGCTTGACTAGGCATTCGCCTGCCCATGAGCAGAGCTTTCACAATGGAGCTCGTGCTGCCCGGGAAACCTGGAATTGGTGTCCTTGAGTGTGACTGGGCAGGTGGGTTCTGGGGCGTGGTCAGCACTGGTTCAGTTACCAGAACAGAAGCGTTTTCACAGCTCCCTGGCATTGGCTCTGTGGGGACACGCTTTGGCTGTTTCTGGTCCTGTACCATTGACAGCTTTCCCCCAACTCAATGCATTAGATGAGGTCCTTTTATTTTAAGAGCTATTGATCTTTGCTTGAATTTTCTTAACTATCTTTTTACCCATCTGCCGTCAGTGCAAGGCTTACCTTTTTAAAAATGTGTACTGTTTCCCCACATCATTTCAGTAGTTCCTCCATGGCTGTTTCTCAGGGTAGGAGTGTTACCTTCAGGAAGTCCTGGGAAAGCTCAGAGGGGGGTGATGCCTACCTCAGGGGAAGGAGATAGCCATGACTAGAGACCCCTGAAACAGATCTTTCTCTCTCCTGGGGTCCTTCACTTTAGAGATCCCCTCTCTGTTTTTCAGAGGGATATTCCCCATATCAAAGGTGTAGAAGAGCTGAACAGAGGATAGAGATAAAGTAGCCACAGTTCAGAAATTGTTTACAAGCCAGCAAACCAAGCAACGGGAGGGAAGCACTGGGCGTATCTCTCCACAGCAGAGACAAGTTCATCCTAGTCAAGTCTGTGCGGAGGGAACAGGCTTTTATGCTCATGCCCTTTGGCTGGAGTTGGAGGGGGAGGGCAAAACCCAAGGATACAAGGAGGTTTAGGAGATTGGACACACCTGGGATTTGGTTTCTGGCTGCTGGGGTGGAAGCTACCAAGAGCATAACTCAGAACACGGGCTGTCTTTCTGTGTTCCTCTTCTCTCAGGGACATGCACCCTAGAACATCCCGCTCCAACTCTTTGATGCCGGCTTTAGACTTTGGTGCTGTGACAGGTGTCTAAGGGAAATATTCAAGTATCAAAATATATTTTTTGGTTCTTAGCTCACATGTCTGCCCCAGGTTATCTGGTTCCCTCACTTTGAGCCTGAGGGAGACCAATCCTGTTATGCCCTTCTGTGTTGGTGATGTAGGAGTCATAGAACTGACAATAGAGGGGTTTCTAAAAGATTTGCTTAAGAGACATTAAATCACACAGTGTAGAATTTAGCTAAGGGAATACTGCCCCTGAAGATCCCCAGGCCCCTTAGAGGTAAGCAGGCCTCACCATGCTAGGATGAAATGTTTGTTCGACACAGCTGGCCCCCACCATGCCTCCACCAGCAGCTCAAGGGGGTAGTGCAGGGTGAGTTACAGCTGCCATGAAGTCCCCGTGTCTGTCAGTAAGGTCCTTGTGCCCTACTGACAGGAAAAGTGTAGTTCTGCCAGGTGGACAAGATGACCCCATACAACAACTACTCACGGGGAAAAACACGCTGGTGTACTTAACAACTATGGCCTTCTTTGCTGTGTGAATGTCCCATCTGCCCATTCCAGACTTGCCGTCTCTTGTGTGTTGAAATTGTTCAAAGTGTAACCTAGGGCTGGGACCTCAAGAGATTTAAGGATGACAGCATGTGTAAGATGCATAGAAGTTAGTAAGACCTGTTTGAGACTGGTGTTCCTTGAGCAGTAACTGCAGCTGCGCATGCGTGCGAGAGAGAGAGAGAGAGAGAGAGAGAGAGAGAGAGAGAGAGAGAGAGAGAGAGAGAGAGAGAAAGCAGTTTTTCTCTGGGAAGGCATATTAATTCTTTAACGGTGGCAGGATACAGTAGAAGAGGTCTTTGCCTCCTGAAGCAGAAAGGAGATCAGAAAGGAAGGGCTGGGAGCAATGGATGCACCTCCAGGTCCACCTCCTCATGTTTCCATTGTCTCTCAATTATGCCTTCAAATGATGACTCCATAAATGGACTAATCCAAAATCGGAGACCTCATGATGCATCCACGTCCCCACACCCCCCACCTCCCAGCAGTATTTACATCTGTGATAACTCTTAATACTGAAACCATGACAATGCCCATTTACATATTTTCTGTCGTGACAGCCAGGTTTCTGAGCCTCTCTGAACTGCCAGTGAAATACTTTCATCTCTATGTAGAGGTTCCGGTCTCTAAACTGTTGTTTTAATCCGGGGTACTAGAAAACACAGCTGTGATGGAGGTTGTGAGATGCTCAGAAAGTAGACTTTAATGGGGCGCGAGCTGTAGTCACAGCCCCTGGGGAGGAAGGGGAGGGAGGGAGAGCTCCAGGCCAGCAGTGGCAGAGGGTCTGGCTGGAGGGTGGAGGTGAGATGAGCCGGAGTGACCGGCTGTAGCTGAAGGAAGGCCGCCTCACTAATGGGTGTTTTCTCCTTTCAGCGGAGTTTTAGGATTCTTTCTCATGCTCAGCACAGTAAAGCTGAAAAGCGTTCTGGCCCCAGGGCAGTGCGCAGCCTGGATTTTCTTTGCTAAGGTAAGAGAGAGGGGCTGGGAAAGTCTACCTCAGAAGCCTGTGTGGCCAGCCTTCTCAGTGTGAGACCTTTAGGAAACCGTTTTTAGTGACTTGTACCTGGTGATAATTTCTGAGACCTCTCAACCTCACCACATTCCCAAAAGGTGGTAGAGGAAAGCTGACAGATGGCCGGAAGGAGAGACTTCAGGAGTCTTCAAGACTAGGATTGTTACAAGAGGAGCTTTTGTGTATCACAGTGGCCAGGGATGACTGACTAAGGGAGAGACTGGTGGGCTGTGAAGGCTCTGGAGAAGAAGGCGACCGTGTGAAGCACCATGGCAACAGACATGCTCTCTTTCCCCTCCTGTCTGAAGAACATAGACAGTTCTTAGGGGCTTAGGACCTCCATCGAACTAAGATAAGTTAGTTATTGGAGCTCCTGTCTTCAGCCATCTGTATTTTTTTTTCCGTTGCTTTTGTTTTCTCTGGAAATGAGATTGCACAGTGGAGATGTCACCTACACACATGGCCTGCCTTTAACAGTATTTGTTGTTCTTGGTAGAATGGGGAAGCTGCCTGAGATCTTAAGCACGAGAGAGGGAGGAAGTTGACAGAGTCTCGAAAACAAGCTGAAAGCCAGTATAACATTGTCCAAAGTCTCAATTTTCATGCTCCAAAAGCTGACTAAAAGCACATAAGAAAGCAGAAATGTTTGTTCTTGGTAGGGACGGAGTGAATTCACAGTGTCCTTGCCTGCCGCTGCCCCGCTCCGCCAGCGTGATGGAGAGCCATGAAAATTAGCTTCCCTCCTTCTAGAGGTCGCACCCTCTGTTTGGGGCATTGTTCATTCGGGTGGCCATTTTGGTCAGAAGTGAACAGAAGAAGCTAGTAGTTCCACTGTCTTGAATTTATAGGCCTCACTGGAGTGCTGTGGACAGAGGTCTTGCTGCTGACCTCTGTAGGAGCCTTGTGAGCTCTGCAGCCCACCATACTTCTCACACCGAATGCTTCTGTGTCTAGGAACACACCAGAGGTGGAGCAGACTCAAACATACCCACACATCCCTGGCCAAAAGAGTCAGAGGAAGGTACAAGCCAAGGCAGACAGGAAAACTGCCTGAGGTTCAAACGACCTCTCCAGCTGCGTAGAAGCAGAGACAAGATCTTCTGGCTCATGATATTTGGACAAAAGCCTCTGGCTGGTCCTTGCCAGGACACCAGTTAGACTAGCGTGAAGAATAAGAACATTAGTGAGAACATCAGCGCTGCACCTTTTGGCGAGGCAGATTTCACACTTGCTTTAGGAAGATCACTGAACAAGCAGAACAAGTAGCTGCAGTAGTAAGATGTGGGAAAAGTCAGAGCTTAGAGTTGCTGCCACATATTACCTAGAAAGCACAGTATTCACCCAAAAAATTAAAGACACTTAGAGAAGCAAATCATGGCCTATGGGAAAAGTCAGTGGGAACTGGCTTATCTGCTTCAGATGTAGAGTTAGCTCGGAACATTGCAAAGTGGCTCCTTCAGGGCACTCAGGGTGGGACTACAGCCATGTGAAATCAGAGGGAAGAGCCATGAATTCGGAATGTTAGTCACAGGGAATTAGGAAATAACCAGTTGAACATATTCTGCAATGAGATTTCTGTAGAGAGACTCAGCAGATAGGATGATAGAAAAAGCGAATGTGAAAGAGAGAAGAAAGCATTTAATACAAAGAAAAAATTAATTGGAAAGTGTAAGCAGCACTCCAGAGACCTGTGAGACATCACACATATCAGCTTATATATAAAAACTGTCTTGGGAAAGGAAGAATCAGAGACAGAAAAGTATTTAGGTGAATAATGGATGAAACTTCCAGATCTTATGAAAGACATAAAAATTCAGTAAGTCCTGAAAACAAACAAAAACAGCATGTTACCCAAACAAATTATAATCAGACTGTTAAAAGACAAAGAGAATATGTTAAACACATCGAGGAAAAAGGATTCAGCACACATGGAAGAAATCAGTGCAATTAATGAAAAATAGCAAACAAGTCTCCAAACAAAAACCTGGAGGCCAGAGGCAGCAAGAGGAGGCCACATTCAACATGCTAAAGGAAAAAAAGACATATGCAACAAGGGACTTAATACATAACAAAACTGTCCATCAGATATGACAGAAATAAAGACATTCCCAAATAAATAAAGACTGAGAGATGTGATGCTAGTGGCAATATCAATAATTATATTAAGTGTTAATAGACTAAATATTCCTTTTAAAGGGCTGGAAAGATGGCTCAGAGGTTGGGAACTCCGACTACTCTTGCGAGGACACAGGTTTGATTCCCAGCATCCACATGGTGGCTCGCAACCACCTGTAAGTGCAGTTCCAGGGGATCTGACACCCTCTTCTGGCCTCTGTGGACACCACAAATGAATGTGATGCTTAAACATACTTGCAGGCAAAGGACTCAAACACAAAGAATAAAAATAAATGAATCTTTAAAAAGGGCAGAGGTTGTCAGATTGTATTTTTAAAAGGCAAGATCCAACTGCATAGTCTCCAGAAGAGACACACCTTGCATCAAGGCTACTAGGAGCTGACTTTGAGAATGAGGCAGAGCCAGAATCATCATAGATATTTATGCAGGCTCTTTGAAAAACATCTCAGTACTTTCTATCAGGCAAACTGACAACCATGCTGGACCTCTATGCCCAAAAAATGCTCACGAGAAATGAAAATGCACACCCACCAAAAACCCTATACTTTGGTGTTTATGGTTGCATTAATAATAAACCAAAACATGTAAAGAATGTTGATGTGAGTTTCTTAGTGGATGGATAAACAAGATATCGATGCATGTGGTAGAATGCTATTAAACAATAGCAAGAAATGAGCTATTAATATATGTTATAATACAGATGACTCTTAGAAGCATTCTGCTAAGTGGAAAAACATAGTCACAAAGTAATACATATATTATTCCTTTTGTGTAAAATGTCAGAAAAACGCAAATTTATACAGACAGAATATATTGAAGGTTTTTCATGGAGCAGAAATTTATTGCATATAGGCTTAAAGAAGTTGTGGTTTGTGGGATGGAAATGACCTAAAGCTGCATTGTAGTGATGGCTGCATAATCACATAGTAACTTACTAAATTTGCTTACTAAAAATCATCAGATTGGGACTGGAGAGCTGGCCCAGTGGTTAAGAGAACTGTCTGCTCTTCCAGAGGACCTGGGTTCGATTCCCAGCACCCACTTGGCAGTTTATAACCATCTGTAACTCCAATTCTAGGGAATCTGACACTTTCACACAGACATGTGTACAGGCGAAACATCGATGTGCATAAAATAAACAAATCTTAAAAAAACTATTTAAAAGTCATCACATTTAAAAAAAGCCACAGCTTTCATTTCGATGCTGGGTTTTGTGGCTCGCAAACCTTCCTTACGGGCTGTAGAACATGGCATTCATTCTGGCTTTTATGATGTGATGGAGTTTATCTGTGTATGGTTTCGCTTATTTGACCACTGGTCTCTGAGAATTTCCTTTGCTTTTCTTTTTTTCACAACTTGAAAGGAAGTTTATAACTTTTCCCCCAGATCTGGGGGAAAGGCAAATTTTAATTTATTCTTGTGGTTTGATGCCAATCCTTAAGTGTAGAGATTAGATTAGGTGAACCATCAAGTTCTTAGCAGCTTCAGATAAGCTCTCTCTTTCTCTATCTCTTCAGTACATCTGTTACCTACTCCCAACACACTTTTCTATCACATGTGAGTTCTGTGTTCTTAGCAGCCAAGTATACCCATCCCCTGAGCCAGCTGCATGTCCAAATGCACTGGCATTTGTAACATACCACAACTGTACTTGGTGAGACAGCATTGCCTGGTTATGTCATTGTGACCGCCAGTGTTTTCAGAAAATGACCCAGAAGGATGGCCCTGTGGTGCTAGAGGAGAATTTGGATTCCTCAAAAAACTTGTAGACCCAGGCTGAGAGGCCTTGTTCCTGGCTCTAAAATAGTATTCTTTCTCAATCATTGTTCAAGGGCTGGTCATTTCAGCAATCACTTTTCTTCTAGAGACAGGGTCTCATTGAATAACCCTAACTGGTGGTCTGGAACTCCTTGTGTAAACTGGCTGGCCTCACACTCACAGAACATCCTGCCTCTGCTCTTGAGTGTTAGGATTAAGGGTATCAGCACCATGCCTGGCTTCAGTAATGTTTCTATCATGATTATCATTTTCCTCTCTTGGAATCTGAGAAATACTTTAAGATCCAGAAAGCATTATAGTGCTTAGCAACCTTTGGAAAGAGAAAAGTCTCTTCTCTTAGTAAACTTGAGCATGTGAAATCTAATGCATGGGCAAAGTCTGAGCTCTTTTCTCACTGGGAGTACGTGAATTGATTCAAGAGAACAGTGTGACAGTGACGTGTGGGTGTGTAAGGAGGGCACAGCCTGAGTTGCCACTCTTAGTGGGTCTTTCCAGCAGACTTAAACCTGTGTGAGAATTCTTCCCAGTTTGGGTAGTGCCTTATCTCATGCTTTTCATTTCAAACTTCTTGGGTCCTCAGTCGTTGGAAAGAAGCAGCCGAGGTTGGAGCGAGTTCTTAGTGATGACAGCCAGGAAAGGCACGGCATCCCCAGTGGCAGCAGCACCCGCTGCCCTTTCAAAGCCAGCTTTGTGTAACACTGGGCTCCTCAGGAGCTAACACCATTGTCATCAGCCAGCTGCGGCTTATAAAACCAAGTCTGTCCTTTTAATGGCCCTTGGGAAATACTTTTGCTGATAGATCTTCTGATTCAGTTTAAGGTATTGTTTGTTTGGCTTGTTTTTATTTTGTTTATTTAGAGATTGATCCCAGAGTCTTAAACATACAGGCAGGAGCTTTACTGTTGACCTAAACTCTTTTGTTTTGATGTTGTTTTTCAAGATAGAGTTTCTTTGTGTAGTCTTAGCTGTCCTGGAACTTGGCCGTGTAGAATCTAGCTGGCCTTGAACTCACAGAGATTCCAGCTTTTGAGGGCAGAATT